AACATTGTTAAAGCCATTCGAATTCAGACATTTCGTTAAGATGGCAAGTCTTTTATAGCCTACCATTAGTTCCAAGAGCTACTAATTCATTACCGTTACAAGTATCATCCAATGTTCGATTGTCTTGTTTCCAGCTCAAAAAGAAAGAAGATATCTAAAAAATAATCACATCATCGTCACCGAAGTCCTGTTACGTAGATCCACTTCCTACACTCGTCATCAATAACTTCTATAATCAACTATTCTATTACAGAATAAATCTTTCTGGACATTTTTAAAATTGCCAATGTGTGTTCTTTAATTACGAGGTAAATAGTTTTATGTCTAAAATCTTGGAAAAGTGCATTTCACACCAATTAACTACTTATGCTGAACAGAGTTGTTTGATAGAGCAATATCTTCGATCCCTGTATTGGCCGAGAAAGTTCATCTGGATTTTCCGAGGTGGTTTCCCCTTGTCAGCTGTCTAGTAGTTCGGGTGAACATTGGTATGCACGTAAAAGATCCCTTGGCAGTTGGAATTCGATATAAGCGTAGGCCATAGTGCCGCTGCCCGGACAAAATTTACCTCATAGCACACTGTATGGCGTATCTCCGTCCTTATTAGCCCAGTCGGAGCAGAACAGTATGACGTTAAACCCCATTTCAGAGAATATCAGATGATAGAGCGATATCAAAGTGCTTACAGAGAATATCACAGCACAGAAACGGCGCTTACACGAGTTCTCAATGATATTCTTCTCTCACTGGACAGTTGAGAATGTGTTCTTATTCTCTTGGATTTGTCAGCTACAGTTGACACTGTGGACCATAAGATTCTACTAAATGGTCTTTCTATTGAATTTGACAGCGCTAACTCTGCTGCACATCTACTGCAATCATATCTTGAAAACCATGGACAGTGTGTTGTCATAGGTGATTTCACATCAAAGAAGGCTGGACTACTTCAAGGAGTACTACTGGAGTACCACTGGGATCTTGATAGGCCCAATTCTGTTCAGCCTGTGTACTAAACCGCTCGGTTCATTTGTCAAGAAATATGGCCTTCTGTTCCATCTTTATGCTGGTGACATGCAGTTATACTGTTCTTAATTTACGCCTGAAAATAATAACTTTGATCGTTCAAAATGCAGCATCGAAAGCTGTATGTAGGAATTTAAGTCATGGATGTGATCAAATTATTTGAAGTTGAATTCTGAGAAAACAGAATGTGTATGTATTGGCTTTAAACAACATAAGTTGATGACAGTCAAATTACTAGGCCTTCATAAGCCAGGAACATAGTTGCTGTATTCGATCGACATGAGTATGGAAGCACAGATAATAAATATCTGTATACGGAAAATTAGTCAGCTTATTAAAAAATATATTAGAAACGATGCAACAGAAACTTTAATCCGTATGTCACGTCAAGACTGGATAATTTCAATTTAATACTCTCTGCAAAATTAATTTTGCAACTAGGTTAATAACTCAAACCAACCATTTCATATCATTTTACTCCCATATAGTATAATCTACATTGGCCACTTAACTCCCTTAGAGTTAAGTTCAAAATACTCTTTCTTACTTATAAATTCTTAAATAACCTTTGTCCCTCATATTTGTCAGATATTCACGCATATCGGAACGTAACGACCTGAATTAAGTCCCCTGATTGTTAAAAAAAATCACGTTTTTCGCTTGTGGACACTCTAGAGGTCACAATTTGTATTCAGTTTTAAAATAAAATTTGTATTTGAATTTCGTAAATATCTGACCGCACAAAATGACCAATATTTATCCAATTTTGATGAAAACTTGAAATGTATGTTTATAACCAAAATATCTCGATTGAATTCGATATTCGTGCATATAGGACCATAACTGACTGGATTATGGCCCCTGATTGTACGAAAAATCGCGTTTTTTTTTAGCTTGCGGAAACTCTAGAGGTCACAATTTTTATGCGATTTAAAAAAAACCCTTTAAATATATCACTATTCCACCCTAATGATGGTTGAGGTTAATTTTCCTGAAAAACGAACCGAAACTGCCCGACAAAATGGCTGCTACATGTACGCAAATAGTGTAAAAGTATGCAATACCAAGGTTGTGGACCCTCTAGAAGTCACAATTTTTATCCAATCATGACGAAACTGAAAATAAATGTTTATATCACAAAGATCTCGCTTCCTCTCGATATTCGTGCATATCGGACCGTAACTTCCATTTTCTTTAGTTTGTTCTCCATCTCTTGCAAAATGTTGGCGTATCTTGCCTGGCAACCGCTAGTTAATTTCTGTACCATATTTTGTAAAGCACCTGTGGGCACTTAGTCGTGGAAGTTGTGCGCTATAAAATGTACAGTAATAATAATAATAATAATAAAGGGTGGACATGATCGAGACTCATTTTAAAGCACACTATTAATACCCATTATATTCAAAAGAAAGTATGATTACATAACCCGGTAACTTTGTAATAAGGTATTAAAACAAACTCCCAATATTGCATTGTGTAAGTATCGGGGGTCACAATGGCTTGGTTACAGTGGCACCAGTTCACTAACCAAATGTTCCAGGATTCGTTCTCGGTGGTAGCCTAGAAATTTCCTTGGGATGTTCAAGACTCATTTCCTCTTGTCAATGACGTAGGACGGGCCCTGAGGACCAGAAGCGACTTCTCACTTGGATGATATTAATAACCGATGGCCCTTCTGTCCCATTCACCAAACGTCAAATATCCCCTTGTATTTGGAATATGCTCGTCTTCATTCGGCCGTTTGATCTAGAACACTAAAACACTCATCCCCATTTCTTTCAAGTGTTGGGCATTTTATTATCATATTAACTAACCTTATTCTCTGATAATATCTCGATCAATTTGTCTCAGTCCGGGTTATGTATTATTGAAACACACGGGACCTCTGTGGTCAAGGAATTAAACTGAACCATAGACAACTTTTGATTAATAGTTTCTTCTAAAGATTTAACCAATGTGGACATTCGTGTTTAATGAAAGATATAGCAGCAGATTCCTTCAATCTTTCTGGTGGGGCGGGGGTAGGGTGGGCGATGGTAATACTGTTTTACAGAAAAAAAAGCACAACATGTGGTGGGTTAATGGTTATCTAGAGTTCTAAATATTCTAGCAATTTCATTAGACCAGAATATAGGAATGTTTTCAATGTGTGGTTTTAGCCTAAAGCTACTTTATATTGATAGCTGTAAATACATCAGTTACAGTTCGATACCCGCAACAATCACTTTATCAACATTTTTAAGTTCTGGAAGACGATGAACAAAAATGAGCTTCTCGCACTTAGTTTTTCAAGCATTTAGTGTCAAAGAAGAGAATGATGTTCATCTGAAAAGAAATATTTGGGTGGGTCAAATTGAGTTGACAAGTTTATTGTAAGCGTTTTATCGATTGGCTTGCTACAATTAATTCGATGACATTAGCCAATAAATGATGGCGCTGTGGTTTGAAATGATTCGAAAGAGGTGTTGACATGTGTGAAACTGTTTGGATTTACAAGGTGCCGTGTTTTAGATTTGTTTTCCTGTGAACATTAATGGACAACTCTTAAAGACAGGACATTGATCTACAGCCTTTGGCATCTATTTTGCTGTAGTTTTGTAGGAGTTTTTAATCAATAAGATGAAAGGATTTTCATGACTGCTGTATAGATGTTTTTCCACTGGCCATTAAATATTAACTATTATCTAAGTCTCTTATAAATTAAGCCCTCTATTCCGATACGGGGAAAAGCTTGACGAAGATAAAGACGGATAAATGGTTGATAGAACAGACGATTTAATAGGTGGATGTAATCTAAGAAACACATGTCTATTTCCAAAGATTTTAAGTAATTCATTGAGTAAATTTCTATTGAATGTTGTAAGCGATATACAAGTCTAGGGACGTTTTGCTGGCTGTCTGATGCTCTAGCGCCATTAATTGGCAGCTTATGTTCGGATATAAATAATTACTATTGTAGATGATAATTAACAGTTCCATCTGGTAAATTATATACTTTGAATGGAATTCTATTATCGGGAACAGGATGCCAAACATCTCGTAAAGATTTCATTATCTATCATATGTTTAATAAGCACTGAAAAAAACATTATTTGCTCAGATGTAATTATAATGTTTGCTTCTGTAGTCGGTATTATCTTGTTTTTTTTATATATTCGCTGCATGTAAACAGCAGACATATTGGAAATAATAGAATTGATCACTGATGCCAAAACGGAAGTTATAACACAGAAACTTTTAAACCAGCATCAGTAACTCTCATACAATTTAATTGTTTGTGTATACAGTGTTATAGACGAATACCACTCTTAAGATTGATTCTTTGCATTAAGTTAAACAAACCGTAGAATTCATCATCGATGGCGGAAAATGAAACATACGGAAAAGATCAACTTGATAAATGACATCGTCGAACCTGCCTGCTGAAGAAGGAGATTGCTCGAACCAGTGAAATTTATTTGATTAAGAACATTTCATTTTTATCTGCCTTTCGCTAGCCTATTGAGAAGAACCACGTTTAGCTTAAAATAGAATCAGCATTATTTCTGTCGTCTGTAAGTCGTGAAAGTCCGAATAACAGAGATAATCTTGTTATGTTTATACTTGTTAAATTAGGTTTGTGACATTTAGACATCTTTCATATTATAGTTCAAATCGGTAGTACAATTTAACATAATTTAACTTGAATTTTGAAATTTGAGAGGAGACTGTGCGGAGCTAGTTTGAAATAAACTCTTATCTTGTGTATATTCATTTAAGATTACCCAAATCGTACAAAGATGATTAAATAACAATCTAATATATTTGTGAGATACTAGCTTATATAATCGCCGGATCACTAATTTTGTGTTTTCATCATTATATAATCGTTCATTTGCTACTTGGATTCATTATAGTGACGTCGCACTGAAGTAACACATTGGAGTACGTCGAATTGGTATGTTGTTTTATGGACACAGCAGATTATTTCTCAGTGAATGATATACACATGACCAATTGTATTTATGAGTAAAAATAGTTGCAATAAGACGAATGTTAGATGCTTTAATGACAGATGGTTTTTGACAGTTAAGGATAGTGAATAGTCCCACCAGGGTTGTTAATGTGCTTATTAAGCAAACAAGTAGAGGGAGGGGTATGACGAGAACATTTCCTTCATCTATTGATTACCTTTTTACTACAACACACAAAGAGTACGAACCATTCACAAACCGCCAGAAATTGATGGAAACTTCACTATGTTCGACTATACCCATTATATCAACGATTATGAATTGTAGTTTTGTGTTAGAACTTAAATAAATATTTGCCACTTAAATGGATGTACTGTGTTTGGAACCACACTTGACTGCGTTCTTTGTGTTACATTTGTGCAACACCTACTTTTCAAGGTGAAAATAATTAATCAATTAATTAATAGCGTTTTATTAATTCTACAATTTTCTTTATGATTGCTGAATATTTTTTCGTACTACTAGTTTGAGATTCAAAGAACAAGGCTGGGATTATTCACCGGCGTCTGAATTGATTATTTTCATTATATTCATTCACAATGCTAAATGTTTACATTGAAATGATCCTTTGAAAAGTGAAGAAATAAATGCCAATATGTTCTGCCATATTTGACAAGCATAATAAATAAGAATAACTGATTAGATTATGAATCAAGAGCTTAGCAAAAAATCATATCGTCTAAACCAGCCATGCGTCTGTTTTCTAAATTAGTTCCTTTAAGAGATCTCAAGGGTTGCCTTTTTATGGAACGCATAGTGTGTATGGAATGAAGTAGTTGAAGAATGCGAACAATATGATTTATATTAATTTGAATTAAAGAGATATCGTCGTATTATGTATTCGCCCGAGTTGATGTGGTTTTAGAGAAGTGCATGTCTGTGGATACTCTTACTTCTACTCTAAGACGCACTTCAAGTGTTTTAGGAGACATACCTGGATTTATGTGAATAATTCAACAGATTGTGAGGACGAATTATGAACTATTGACAAGAATCACTGGTTAAGCATGGAGTATTTAATCTATATCTCACTACTGGATTTACTCTTTTGTTTAGTTGTGGGTAAGTACTATAATTGTATCTTAATGTGTATTATTCATGATCTGTGCTTAAACAATAAACTACCTTTAACGTTTTGGTGCACCTAGGCATACAAAATTTCAGACAAATATGCCTTAAGCAATCTGTGTCCTAAAGAACATCTATATAAGACAAACATTTACATAGTTGGAAAATATTTGATACTTTGGGTGTCTTAGATCATGATAATCGTTTCAGTGACTTTATTGTTGACTAATGCTTTTCTCCAAACTGAATTAATGCTAAGCTTCTAAAAAAATAACTACTAAAAGCACTAATGTATCACCATACCATTTCAAGCTGGTAACAATTTGTGTACCACTTTATAATTGAGTGAAGTATTAGTAAACATGTGACTTACACGAAGATCAGCATAGCAACTCGACATAACCAGATTTTAAGTCTGTAATGCCCTGGATAGTTTTTCTAGTATTGAAATAATTTCACACGGTGAATGGTGTTTTTATAAACTCTAATAATAACGATCACTGGGCATAGTAGAAAGTGGTATTTTAAAATTACTTCATTGCATCTATAGGTCTTTGTGATAGATGCAACAGTCCAATAACCGTTTATATAGTCCCATCCTTGATGATCCTTGATCACCCTTGAAGAGGTGAAGTTATAACTAAATATTCTAGTTTATTTTGATTAATGATGCATTTTACAGTGTGTTAGTATGCCCAAATCATAAAAATGCACCTATTACCTTTTGTAAATGTTTCAGCACAAAGCATTGAGCCCTCTCGAAGTTATCACTAAGGTTTTTTTTTGGGGGGGGGGGTCAGACGAGCGTATTTTTACGCCCCGAATTTTAAAATCGCTCGAACAAATCGTCCGATTGCCCCTTCACGGCGACGACGATTCTACTCGACGAACCATTCGTCCGATCAATCACTTGTATCCAGCATGTTAGATATTTTCGGTCGAATCATTTTTATAAGCCAATCGGAGACATGATTGATATCACATGGTCTCAAAATGTCTGCCTCCACTGCCGAAGCGTGGAATCTAACTCCTGTACCACAAGTTTCGATTTGTCGAACGAGCCCTTCTGGGTATTCTGCGTTTTATTTTTAGCAAATAAATAGCAGGTTACAACAGCAATCTTACGATTTCGGCGATTCGCCATTTAGAACAAGTCACATAATCGAAATAATTTTCTCGTAGAACGGCATACCGAGACGACCGCTACGTGTTCCCGTTCGTGATCGGCCGTAAAAAAAAAATCACTGGCGAATTCTAATCGGCGCGATCAGGCACAAAATTCGCTCGTCTGCCCCTAGCATAAGGAATATCACTGTTCATAGGTTAATTCATATTTGAAACGAACAGGTACGGTTAAATCTATTTGTTAAGGCCAGCTCAATTTTCGTCAATAAGGTTCGGGCACGTGATTGTTGGCAAGACTGTAGGTTAGAGTTAGGGTGAGCATTAAGGCTAGGTCCAGGGTTAGGGCTGGGATTAGCGCTAGCTCCGTTTACATCACGCGACCTTTGACCAAACTTGAAGTTGGCCTTATCAAATAGATCCAAGCATCAGTTACCACTATTACCACGTCAAGTATACAGATACATGGTTATCCAGACACTTATATTCGTGAATATATTTTCAACGCGACATGAAAGCAGAAAGCTTTCTTCGCAAACGGTGCACATAGCTTCAGCTAGCTGGACTGGACAAGGGTAAAGAGTTTCTTTTAAAATTGACTTTAATTCACTTAATTATATCCTTTTAAACGACGTTTGTCCCTTTAAGACGTATTTCGACAACAGATCCTTTGCCTTTCCGGAACGCCCAGTACCACATCTAATTTAGAAATAATTGTTGTATGTTTGTATTGGTTGTTCACTTCCTATAAACTTTTAACAAGTAATGACCTCTCGGCGTCCTATTTGGATTTGCTTAGAGTTATTGACATCAACTGTAAGATAATCTGGACGATGTTGTTGTTAATTCCCTGTCTATATGCAGTTATACACCCCAGTCACCAGCTTACGAGGTGTTTATTTCTCATTTAAATCATTATGCTAAAGGGTATACACGTTATGAATACTTGCTAACTGGGGGTTGAGGGTAATTCTAACGCTTAAACTAGGCCTTCCTTAGAGAACAATATTTAACACATAAAAGCCAAAAACTGCATTAAATGGTATTGGCAAATATAGAAAGTCTGTGTCTTCTAGTATCACAGATCCATACCAATACTTTTTGGCGGGTATCATTCACAACACAGAACTGAGTGTGCTTAATCGTTTCGATTAATCTAATACTATTTTGCCATATCGGAACACACGTGTAGTGTTACACCGATTTGTCTTTATTGTATCTATGATCAATCATACTTTACTGTGAGTGGGTTCACGAAGCTAAGTTCTTGATTCACGCCGACATTTCATTTTCTTTACTGTTTATGCGCAGTTTGTTATACGTATTGTTACGCATTTAGAATCCGCTGTCTATTTAAACTTCACTGTATTTAAATCTGTGATCTTATTTACTTATGTTATTATCGAAAGCAACGGGTTTTGTAATGAAAATGAAGAACCAACAAAGGATTATTACAAATTTAAAGGTATTTACAGTTACCTGTTTGGCAATAAACGTTCAGTTTTGTAATAACCCCTTTTTTATGTTTTATAAAACTCAACTTTTACTATGAAACTCGCCTTTAAAGAGAGAGAGTTTAACGTCCACTCGACACAAACAAGGTCATTTCGGGACTAATATGTGGTTCAGTTTTATTTCAATAATTCGCTTGCGCTTAGGGGTCTTTAGCAGTAGGAGGAAACCGGAGGACCTGGAGAAAACCCACGAGGTTGGATAAGCCACCCCACTCTTTGTCACGTACAACCGGGGAATCGAAACCATGCCAGTTGACTCGATGGCAGAGCTTATGATATAGCGCGCACGCGCTAACTATTCGGCCATCCAACCCCCTAATGAAAAAAAGATGAACCTTTATTACAAAAAATAGGTTTTTATTCTAGAGCATCTTATACCATTTTTTACAATATGTTAATCTGTCTGATCCCAGATTTAAACTAAATCATTAAATTTATCCAATTTCCTTGTTTTCAATAACTCTTATTCCTGCCCTTAACTGGCCAATCAGCTTTATTTTCACATTAAGACACTGATTTAAAGATACATTATGTAAGAGCTAAATCTTTATTTTGGTTTCAAATATTATACAAACTATTATTTAGACAATTATTCACATGGCAAGCCTACATGACCGAGATTTGAATGGATTGGAGCATATTACAGATACATATGAATGTAAATACTGGAGAATATTACCCCCAGGAATATGTACAAGAACTGAATGATATTCAACGACTTCAAAGGGAAATGAATCAATCTGATTATATACACATGTATCAATTTTGCAATTTTTAGTATTGCTATCAATATCAAGAACATCTGCTTTTTGAGTACCATTAATTTCTTTATTCAGAGTTAGTTCGGAAAAATAAATCAAGTATCCATTAGAAGCAGTTACCTCATCAATGTATCGAAATTGTTATCAGGAGTTCGTTTCACAACATAATTTGTCTTTTACATATTTTTTTTGTAGATCATCCCATAAGATAGCTTTTCACTTTAAAGTCATCATTTCCTTAAATTGGATATATAATGCGACGAATTTCATTCAAATTCGAACAAATACGCGATTAAATGAATATAACACAACATTAAAGATACATTATGGGAGATTAGATAAAGAGCTGACGGTTCTCACTATCATAGTTTAAACTAGATAATGTAAAGGCAATTTGTTGAAAATATCAGTCAAATTGATCCACTATGAACCGATAATTAAGGGATTGATTATCCATTTCATGATTAAATCATGAATGAAAGTTGAGCAGCAAATCGGATCATAATCCAATAAATATTGCAGGCTAGCGTTGACATCGAGAGTTGATTATGGTCTGGATAAGTTAATTAATGTCTAATTTATAATTTAGATAAAGAAAGACCTGCAATTGGCATATTTAGCTCTTGAATAATGTATGTTTAAATTAGATCTTTTATAAAAAAAAAGCATATTGTGTTTCTTGCTACCCGGAAATCATATTGCATTGTGACATGGTAATCTCCCGTTTCGAGATGATACACTTTGATCGGATGCTTCTATCCATTGTTCCAGAGCCTCCCTGTAATTGGTGTCCTGCGATCAAGAAATTCGCCAAATACGAGTGTGGTGATCTCAAGACATTGAAGGAGGACTCTTGATCATATAGGCGGCTATTCTCCTTTCAAGTTGCAACCAGTTCCTCACCCGTTCAGCTTATTGGCTCTCTTCTTCTTCTTGCTTGTCTTACCAGTTTATTGTAATTCTGCTCTGCTTCCAACAGAAGATGCATGAAACCAATGATGTTCAAAGGCTTCATGGTTCTGTTCGAAATTTCGAGCCAAATGATGAACCAGAGAGGAAACAGTCCATATTTTTATACCTTACCTAGTTAATCTGATTAAATACAGATCTATATTTCGTTTCGTTTTTTTTCTACTTTCGATGGAGCGGCTTTTAACCTATGACGTCAGACATTGATTAATCAATCAGCGTTGACGTTTCTAGGGGTTACCCACAGTTCCGTGCAGAGAACACCAAGAACTCGCCATAACGACATTTTGAACTATGAAAAACGAAACGAAATAGGATCTGTGTTTTATTCAGATTGTTACCTAGTCCGAGCGTATACTGCAGACGGAGTGTGACTTAGGGTCTATAAATTGAGTCGGTCGTACAGCCATTCGATGCTCGACCACGTCACGTTGTTACACGTCCCTAGTAGATTGGAAGTACGGCAATTCAGTTCGTAACTTATCACTTCGTCTAATTCCAGGAAGGGGGAAATTTTGAACAAACTCAAGTTCTAAAGCACCTTCCCGTCCATGTAGTTCATAAGTAGATCGTAAACAGTCGCTACTACGTTCACTCTATTCTCACATAGTTTGGCAACATTTTCCCG